ATAGATAAATCAATAAAAGAAAAACTTGGCTTTTCAAATAATCAAATGGAGTTTATGCCATGCATGAAAGAATGATTCAATAGTAAGACCTCTATTAATATAATTAAGCATGTTAATGAGGAAAACTATATGATTATAGCTATGAATGCTGAAAAGCCTTTTGATAAAATTAAACATCTATGATAATTTTTAAGCCCAATGAAATAACAGGATATTTCCTTAACATAATGAAAACTATACATGTGAATATATTCATATATAGAGTGCATGTGAGAGAGGAGAGAACTCCACCAAAGTACAGGTGGTTCATTACTCTTAATGGGGAAACCCCAAAAGCAAGCCCTTAAAAATTAGGAATGCAAAGATGTCACCATCACCCCTAATTAACATTATTCTAGAAGAGGTAATATTATTTTTTGTAGGTTATATAATTTTTCCCTGAAAAAGCTCAGAAAATCTATTTTTAAAAATGTTATCAACAATACGAGGCCAGCTGCAGTGGCTCACCCTTGCAACCCTAACACTCTAAAAAACTGAGGTGAGAAGGTTACCTGAGGCCAGGAGTTCAAGACCAGCCAGAGCAAGATTAAAACACAGTATCTACAAAAAAAAAAAAAAAAATGGAAAAATTAGCCAGGAATGGTGGTGAGTGTCTATTGTCTTAGCTGCTCAGGAGGCTAAGGCAGGAGGATTGCTTGAGCCCAGGAGTTTGAGGTTGCAGTGAGCTATGATCATGTCACTCTAACCAGGATGACTGAGACTGTCTCAAAACAAAACAAAGCAATATATATATGTATAAAGAGAACACAGATAGGCCTGGGTATAAAATCAATAAGAACAATCTGTTAGAGTGGTAATGGAGACCCCATGTACAACAGCAGCCACAACAAAGATAAATGTTAGAAAGTAAACATAATAATAAACGCGTAAGACACAGGGACAGGTTACTGAGGAACCAGAAGGAAGCTGTGAACAATGGAAAAGCACACTGCATTCTCGAAGAGAGAGGAACATAAGGATGGATTTTCCCTTTTAAAAAAAAACTATAGGCTCGGTGCCTGTGGCTCAAGCGGCTGGGGCGCCAGCCACATACACCTAAGGTGGCAGGTTCAA